TACGATTTTATGTATAAATTTCGAGTAAAATTTATGTTAAAATCGAATTTCTATAAAATTGGAGTATAAAATCGTAAAATCATGATTTTTCTGTAAAATTATTTGAAATCTCGATTTTACTTTCACAAAATTGAACAAGAAGCAGCTTTTAGCCTTTACACCTGCCCCCTACACCCTCCCTTTTCCACATGGCAGCCGCACCACTCATGGCCTCTTCCCCAAATAAATTAGAAATCAAAAAGTATAATCAAATACTAGCAATTATCATTAAAAGAATATTAAAAGTCAAATAATCAATAATTAAAAGTCTAAAGTAAAAAATAATTAACAATTACAATAATTAATAATTACAAAAGAAAAAATCATGAAGAAATGACTCAATTTTGAAGTTTAGTTTTTTTTTTCCAACGTCTCTTCAATTTTAATTAACCTAATTATTCAATAAAATAAGAATGTAATAATTAAGTGATAAAAGTTTTTATTTATTCTTTTTACATATATTGTAATTATTTTTTAAAAATAGAGATAAAATAAAAACACCTATAATTAGAATATAGGGCAACTTTCCAAAAAAAAAAAAAAAGGAAATATAGGGCAGTTAATTTAAAACCACTTTAATTAAAAAGTATAACAATTAGAGTTGGACAGAGTGAGAATTATTCATTTTGGTCGGATAAGTGTGAACTAACTTAACTTTTAAAATTTTAAATTAAAAATATCAAGTTCAAATTTTAAATTGAATAAGAAATTATTTGAAAAAAAAAATATAAAAGGGTTAATGTCATTTATTATTCCTCTATTATAAAAAAATAATGCAATCTAAACCTTCTACTATGTATTGGTTTCATGTCATCTCTCTACTATTAATTAATATCATCAAAAAGAAAAACTTTTTCTCTCCCTTTCCCTATCTCCTCCTGCTTCTAACCCCCCGCCGACGACCCGTTGTTTTTGAGCGGAAGCCCTTGGACTGCCGCGTTTTTGCTGCTTGAGTCGTCGGTCTCCCCGGCTGCTCAAGCATGGTGGAGCTTTATGCTCCCTGCTCCGATGGCCTCTGCGGCCTGTCGGTTTGTAGCCCCTCTGGTGGCTTTTTGTTTTTTTTCTGTTCTCTGCGTGGGTTTTTTCTTTGTTTTGTTTGTTGCTGTTTGGTTTGCTTGCAGATCCGGCGGTGGTCCCCTCCATCCGGCAGTTTCTATCTGTGGCCGTGCACGCGGAGGATCCCAGATCTGGCAACCTCGCTACCCACCTGCTACCTCCAGGGATCAGCCTCTGCCTGATCGGGTCTCCGCATCGGCATCTTGGAGCCTGGCGCACCTTCCACATGGGTAGATTGAAGGGTGTCCTGTTTGGATCGCTCGACCGAAGGGCCGTGTATAGCTGGGCCCTTAGTGGTTGTTCGAGTGTCATGTACACCTCTCTTCGGTCTCTGGATATGGGTCTACTCTAGTTTCTTGCTCCTAATGTAATTTTACTGTTTATATTTCTTGTAAATGCCGTATGGCGGTATTTGAAATGAATCAATTTCCTT